CTTAAAGGTTAAGCCAGTTACAAGTTAATTCATTAAAGCTTTTCTAATTTACCTTCAAATTACCTTTTCAATAAGTCTTCAGAGCCCTTTTACTGCTACTTTTCCCCTAAATATTAACATATTCTAATGCAAAATTAGACAGTGCGACCCAAAAACTTTGCCCTAAGCGGTCGCCATCCAGTTGATTGGCCAAAAACACAAACAACCATGGGGAGTACGACACCCATGATATTACAAACAAAATGCAAAAAGACAGCAAACAACGATGCAAAAAGCTAACCCAGAAGCGGCAGCAGCAAATAAAAAAGTACACAAAAGTGAAGGAGAAAGAAAGAACTTTATGCTAATTTCACTTTTCTCGAACGAAGGCATAACCCAATTTTTCTCTCTGCTTGTCTAAGTTGTTTCTTATTTCCATCCAGACCCGCCAGAGAAATGGCGCCAACTGAAGCTGAGGAGAATGTATGTAACTTAAGGTGTGGGCGAAGGCAGAAATGATAATTTTCCCACATTGAAGGCCACGCAAAAAAAGATGGGAAAGGATCCGAGTCGAACGTGACCCTAGAAAGGAAAGTGATGGCTCCAGGGATGCAGATTTGAAACGAAAACTTTATTTGACATTAGTTTAGCATTCAAGATAAGAGATTTGGTTGGTTCAAAAAAAAACAAATAAACTTCATGTGTTAAAATGTAAGCCGCGCTCTTACAAAGTTTATGTACCCAAAATATTATAAATCCAAAATATCTTTTATATTAAAGAACAAAAACATTTTATTAAAATGTATATCAACAGAAAAAAATAATAAAGGAAAGAATAATAGAAACTTTATACTTAATTCTTAAAAACACAGTATTTTTTCAATTGCTTAAACTGTATAAGTGATTTGTTTTATATAGTGGTATATTAATCAGTTTGAGAGCCTATAGAGCACTAACGAGGCAACTAATTTTTCAGCTTGGAAAAAAATTGGTGATTCCAGGCGCACAACTCTATTTTAGGTAATGTTTCCACAATTGTTTCTTTTATTCGGACTTAAGGATAACGAATTATTTTTTAAGTACTACTTTAAAATTCTAATTCGAATTTTGGAGCATTTGCTTAACCGGCTACTCTAAAATACAAATTCAATTTTCCTAGGAGACTTAAAGGCCTTTAGGTCATTATCCTGCCTAAATTCGCTGTCTTACTTATAATATGAGTCTGGAACCTACACTGTCTAGTATGATTTTGCCTCTAACATTTAAAATAAGTAACTGTGTGTTTCCCATGGCAGGAAGTAGTCTTGAAGATCTTGGCATTAGACAGTAGCTTTTCCGCATAAGAAATAAATATATGTATATTGCCGGGGATTTCTTCAAACCTAATGCAAACTGCCTTTTTTTTTATTAAGCAACAGGAAACTGATATCTCCAACGATTTAGGAGGTCCTTACATAAAAAATGGGCCTGTTTCGATTAGTATTTAAAAAGTCATAAAACATAGATTTCGGTTGCATTCTGCCTTCACCCTTCGCCCCCTTTGGTAAAATGATACACAGACAAATTTTTTTCCTTAGCAGGATTCGTTTAATGTTAAACCTTCTGATTTTCTTTTTTTACAGTACACTTCATGACCCATTTTTAACATAAAAGTTGCATTTGAAAACAGATTTTTACCAACACTTAAATTTTATGCTTACCTATAAAATTCTTTAACTAAACCTCAACTTTTTAAATAAACTATTTTGCTTTCCTACCCAAGCATGGCTTAGTCATCAATTTGCTAAACACTGCAAGAAATAAAGGAATAAGCGATTCTAAAAGGAACTGAAAATAAAGTATGGATATCAGTGATCTACGTGTTGATAGTTTGAAGTCAATAACTTGCCTACATATTTAGGAACTGGCTTTAAAGTGCAGAAGAAATTGTATATTCCGAATTGGATGGTTATATGTTTAAAAACAGTGAAGTTAAGATGATTTTCCTATGACTTATTCGTTCGTTCCCAATCGTTCGTGGCAGTTCTTGTCTGAATTTAACTAAAACTGAAATACCGTTTTTTCCTTTAAGAGCTATACTATATGAAGTAGTCGTTCGACTTTAATAAAATCAAAACTGTAGTTCTGAAATATTTAACTGTTATTATATCTTACATAATTTTGAAAAACAGCAAACAAGATATAATTTGTTGTACATTTAATTTTTTTATTTTTATAATTGTTCTAATGGGAGGTATATGTATGATATAATCGAACTCACTGATTCAAAAATAACTCTCTGTATTAGCAATTTATAGTAATGGTTAAATATTTCGGAATTACGATTTAATTTATAACATAATAATATTTTCCAAGAAAACAAATAAATAAATCAATTAAAATAAATTTAACAAAAAGTTAAAAGTTAGAAATTCTATTTTCCGCTCGTATTTAAAATTTGTCAAAGGTATTTAAACAATATATTATATATATTTATAAAAAAAAATATTTAAAAATTAAATTAGCAACATTTTAAGGTTTAAAAAAAATGTTTATATACAACCAATGTTTTCTTTAATTAATGCCATAAAAAATAGAAATATAAATCAGGCAACAGGAATAAAAGTTGGTCCCAAAAGGATTAACAGAGCAAGAAAACATTAACTTACTGAATTAGTTATGTAATCACTGATGTAAAATAATAAAATTGTTGAAGCTTTTACTAAAATATTTTTTTAGCTGATATTCATTAACAGAACAGATATTGCCTAAAAGAATATATATAAATTCTATATACTCCAAGCTATAATTGGCCTGTGGAGAAAAGTACAAAGTGAATAACTAAATAGGAGCCTGGTAGGAAGGGATTCTGTAAGCAAAGAAAAGCAAATAAAGGCGGCTAATTAACATTTCTGCTTTTTTTGACACGTCATCAGCAGTCTCTAAGAGCCTATTCAAACAATATTTCCAACCATGATACAATTTTAAACCTGACGGCAGACCAAGCACAGGCACAGAACGACTGTTACGTCCAATTGCAGTTGAATACGAAAACTCGCAGCACTCGGCTTATGTATTTTCAAATGCGCTGTTGCCCTTCAGGTTTGAGTGAAAATAGATGGCATACGTGTTGCATCTAAGAACACGTTGCAGGGTGAGGTTTGAGTGGAAATAGATGGAAATCATGTTGCCTCTAAAAACACGTTGTAGGGTGAGGTTTGAGTGAAAATAGATGACAAACATGTTGCATCTAACAACATGTTGCAAGTGAGGTGAAATGTAACAGTTATTTTCCCCTGCAATGTTGCTCGCTGTACTGTCATACAAAATAACAATTTTATGCCGATTTACCAGATTTTTATATAAACTAACCGAAGAGCATACTAACATCAATGGAGCGTACCTTCTATTGGGAACCAATTTTTATGTAGCATAATGACTATTTTCTACTTGTAAGTTTAAGAACAAAATTCAATGAATTTCTAGATTCGTTTAAAAACGATAAAACGGAAGAGGCCACATTTGTTTGAGAACCCATTTTATTTACGGAAGAAATCAACGAAACATAATATAAGCAAAATTGGTTGGGACGACACTTAATCAAAACCTTTAAAACAAGGCCAAATAAAATATGAAAACAGGTAAAAACAATAATAAAATAAAAATGGTTTCTTCGGGCTTGACCTGTTCCCAAAATGCATCCAAGAACTACCACAAAGAAGTTAAAAATATTTAAATCGTTAATTTAAGGCCTTGCATATTATTTTCTTCTTTAAGCTTACCCCAGTTGATCGAATTTTTTAACGTTTTAGATGTGTGGGTGTGAGGCATATGAGCAGTCGGAAAAATAATTAAAAAAGGGAGAGCACATGGAAATTGTGATGTAGACCGGGAATATTACGTTTGAGCAACCTTCGATCGTGTTTCGATGTGATAGCGAATCTTGAGGAAAGCGTAGATGTTATAAATTAAATCAGTTTTCTGGCACTGGAAAAGATTACTCTGATTGTGTTTTTTTAGGAGCAAATGTTATCTCTGGACTTGATTATACAGAACTCAATGGTATTTCTCGGGAAATCAGAAACTAATAGTTGAAAATACAAGGAAGTGTTTTAAATGCATTTATATTACAAATTTAATGTCAACAAAGACTTTAAAACCGCATTTATTAGGGATTTTTAATGGCTTTAGTCTCATGATCTATTATCTCCAAAAAATGTAAAATTTTTATACAAAGCAAGTCGATTTAAGATTTTAATTTTACAAGTTAAAAAAACACTCACCCGCTAAAGCAGTGCATTGCTTTTTTATAAAGTCCCCTTGCTGATATATAAACTATTGCTTAATTATTATATATTATATCAAACAAAAACATCTCTAATCAAGGTACAAGTTCGAGACGATCGCTCTTTTAGCCTACAAAATTTTTTAACGAAAAATTAATAAGCATTCGACTTAATAAATACACTTTTTAAAATTTGTTGTTGTTCATGTTCATTGAATTTGGTTTAGATACATTAATGTTTTAAACATTTTTTTTTATAATTATTATATTTAAAATATTTAGTAAACATTTTCTTTTTTTGAACTTAAAAAAATTTTACTAGAGTGCAAGAAGTAAAGCTTTTTACGAAAACGGGCCCAAAAGCTTAAATTAGAAAAAAAGTTAAGTATTTCACTTTCAGCGCTCGTTCTACTAAAGCAATTCATTTTCAAAAAAAATTTGGAATGCACACCAATCGTTACGATCGCACACAGCAGATTTTCAGTTCTGCGTCAAGCATATATAGTAGGTTCCTATGCATACTCTCTTGGCGCGCATCGTCACTACATGTACTGCCGTCCATGGTAATTTTTGATTAACTCTTCGCTTCTTGTGAAATCTTAAGGCACAACAGGACAAGCATTGTACAAAAATTTAAATTCGTTTGTGTTATTCACAAAGTTCATAAAGACTGTTTTATAATAAATGCGTTAAAAACTGTTTACATTATCAGTACCCAATTTTCCCAGAATTACCTTTGACATTTGAATAAGCAAAACAACTGCCTGAACATGCTATAAATACAAAGGCGAAAGTAAAACATTTATAAGTTGCAATTCAACCGCACATCGTAAAGCATTTAAGAAAAAAATGAGTTTCATAGTTCATGTTGGGTAAGCTTAACAAAGAAAAATATAAGCAGGCAGAGAAATTTACGATTTAAATATTTTCAGCTGCTTTCTCGTTGTTCTTGGATGCATTTCGGGGACAGGACACGCCGAAAATAACGCTGAATTCACGGCCAAAGCCCGCGAGATGCTTGAATTGTATGCCAATCCCTCGGCCGATAAAAGTGCTCAGAGCCGAAAAATTCCGGAATTGGCTGAATTCTATGAGAAATACAAAGATCTGATTGATCTTACTGATCAGGAACGGCAGCGAGCCAACGATTTGCTGACGAGGTATAAGGCGGAAAAAGCCAAGCAAGTCTATGTGGATGGTGTACCGCAACAGGGAGGGTTCTTTACGGCTTTGGGTGTGGGGCTTCTTGTCTCCGCGTCTACAGAAATTGGGGTTGAAGTTTACAAACGAGCGACGTCTTCTTGCAGCACAATCCAAATAAGTCGAGAAATGGGAATCTGTGGTATCCTTTTACTGATCGCCCTTTATAAAATAAGGTCAAAACTCTAGTAGACATTATTTCTGAATATTTCTGAATTTCGCATAGCAATGTTTTTAAGAGTAATTTCACATTTATAAATAAAAGGTAATTTTCAAAAGAACACTATTAATTGGTGATTGATTAGTATTTTTTAAAATTATGATGAGTATGTTGACATTCCGAAAAATGTTCAGTATATTCTGGGCAGCTATATAATATAGTTATTTAATTCTTTTAAAAAACGAATTAAATGTTTTCAGCTGCTTTCTGGTACTGCCTTGTATTGACTAGAAACCTCCACTATAGATTTGTCCATAACGACTTGTACGCAACAAACGTAAAATGGCTCAAAATCTGAAGAGGATAAGTCTACACTCATAAATAAATTTAATCTCCAGAATCGTCTTGAAAATCCTGTTCATCTGCTAAAGCCTTTCTATCTAGTCCGTGGTTTTTTCAAAGACACATGTTCCTGTAGAAGCAGGGAATTTTCGTCGGCACTTGAGGGGTCTTGAAGAGCCAACAAATTTGACAGAACGAAAAAAAGTTCGTAATTCAGTTGAGCATGCACTCTTAGTACCATAACTTGGCCAACGAATACAAAAATGTGAAATATTATTATAAACAAGAAAGAAAGCAAAGAAAGCATACACCCTTGCAGCTATTCTTGAAAACATTAAAATTATAATTCACTTGCGTATATGTTTAAAAACATTGAAGCTATGATGATTTGCAGCTTAATTATTAGATACCTGCAATAGAAAGACAACTTTTGGGAAAGTTTTATGCAGATAGCAAAGGACGGACAGACGTACGTACAGACGGACGGACGGAAAGACGGACATGTCTAAATCGACTCTCCTAGTGATGCTGATCAAGAATATATATACTTTATAGGGTCGGAAAGAAATTATAATACCCTCTGCAAGGGTATAAAAACTTGTATATATTTGTTTCTATTTGGGTACTTCTAATATGTAACGTTGTTCTTTATTTAATGAACAGATTTTTAATTTCTTTCTAAATGAGGGATTATCAAATAATAGCTTCTTATCGGGCAAATATAGCCTTCACCTTTTTTTATAATTTAAAAATAATCAATGATTTACGGATTATTTTCCAATAACGCCATCTATTTACGAAAGCTCCCCCTGGCGATAAATCAAAGGCCAGGTGGCTCCACCTAGTAGTAAACTGTTATTTATGTGGCTCCAATTAGACGTAGTCAATAAATCTACCTCTAGGTGGAGCGACCAAGTACCCAAAATAGCGCTAGGTGGAACTGACTATCCTTCGATCTACCACCAGAGTGAGCTATAATATTTAGAAGGCGACAAGCGAAATGACTGGTGGCCTTGAGAATTACACTTGAATTAAAGACCTACTAACCTAAAATTAAAAATTTAAATATTATAAATTTTAGCTCGAGAAATGCAAAATGAATTATAATTAACATTATAAAAACGGCCAAAAACCAGACGGAACGATTTTGATATGGTTTTGGGTACTTAGAACCCAAACGACACTAAAATAATAATTTTAGGAAATTTTAGCCATATCAAAATAAAAAAACTATTAAAAGTAAACCTTATTCTATGAAAGCATACAAGAAATGCTGACTAACAAAAATTGATTAGTCAATATACACAATATTAGGTTTGACGCGGTAGAAAATAAAAAAATACAAAAAAGCATAGTGGGATATTTAGATCCACTCACGCCATTATATATTAAACAAAGCTTGTGATTTCTATTTAAAAAGGGCATCAGTGTCCTCAGTGTACTATGAATCCCATTTGCAAGATCGATATTAACAGACCAGAGTGCCAGGAATGGATGGTCAAAGTCTATGCGAAATGTCGGAATCTCTTCAACAACATGGGTAAATTGCCTATGTGGTGGCTTGACAACGCTCCTGCTGCTTATAAGGTGGACGTTGAGGCCATGACCGCCGAAGATTGTCATCGGCTAAGGCGGGAATTGGGCAAGGAAGTGGAAGAAGAAGATACCTCCACACCGTCCAATGAGTTCAACCTGGGCAGAATGGTGGGTGTCTTTTTGGCATTTGCTGCAATATTTCTCCTTTTCATTCTTCTGTGCGGTATGAAGCGGGGAAATATTAGATCTGCTAAGGCCAAGGCTTTAAAAACTGAGCCACTGGAAGCCCCACCAGTCCAGCAGCGTCTAAAAAAAAGCAAGAAGAAGAAATGCAAAAGCTGGATGCGGAGAAGCTGTCGACCCTTTTTTCTTCATAACGAGTCTCAAATAAAGCAGTACAGAGCACGGACTGAAAAGGAGTTAGCTGTTCATACGGAACGCACCCAGCAAAAGATCGCTATGTGGAGAAGAGCCCGGGAGCGGGATGCACAGAAGAAAAGTGATAAGATCCATCGAAGTATAGACAAGGCTTTGAGAAAGTAACTCCAGTGGGGGCCAAAAGATCGCAGTTACATATATTTACTATGGCGACAGCAACTACTGCCGTTTTAGTATATTTTTTAAAAACAAGTGTTTTGTTCGCATTTTTTTAAATTAAATTAAATAGCAAAGATATAAATAACTATATTTCAGATTAAAGCAAGAAAGGAATCACTCTTCGGCAAGCTGAAGTTTATATACCCTTGTAACTATTTCAAAAATTATAAAATTTTTAATTTTCCGATTGTTTTCATTGGAGCTATTTGCTATAAACGGCCTAATTTTATTAAATTTATCCGATCCGGCTCATTATGACTTATATACTACCTGCAACTGAAAGTCAGCTTGTCAAAATTTCATGCAGCTAGCATTAAACTTTTTCAAATTTGAAAAAGCGTTGATTTTCTTCGATACTTCGATAAGATTTATCGCAGCTTTTTACAAGCTCTACGATCAGCTGCTCATCAGTTGTAACGAGCTCTACAAAATTCTTGCTTTAAAATGGGGCTGTCCGTATATTACCTAATCACGTTTTCGATCATTTTTGACCCCCTCCCCCTCGGCGTACTCCTTGTCCCAGTCCTCCTGTATTAATCTGTGTATTTCAGCTATGGCATCTTTTATACTACACCCCACAACAGCGAAGGTACCGTGTAAGGGAGCGTTTTTAGCAGCCTAGCGTTGCATTCGGAAAATGTTGGTGGAATAATCGCCGCGAAACAAATTATTGAATAAATGCCTTACAAAAAACTCTTTATAAAATGATTACGTAATCATTGTCCAAGACCCTCCCATTTAATTGTGAACTAACTCTATTTTGTTCCATAATTTTGCCTAACAATTTGGTATGTTTTGCAGTTAGTACCTTTAAAAAAATTGTATTGTTCTCGCCTTTTTATATCCTTGCAAAGGGTATTATAATTTCAGTCAGAAGTTTGCAACGCAGTGAAGGAGACGTTTCCGACCCTATAAAGTATATATATTCTTGATCAGCATCTCTAGGCGAGTCGATCTAGCCATGTCCATCTGTCCGTCCGTCTGTCCGTCCGTTTCTACGCAAGCCAGTCCCTCAGCATTAAAGCTATCTGCATGTAACTTTCCCAAAAGTTGTCTTTCTATTGCAGGTAGTATATAAGTCGGAACGAGCCGGATCGGACGACTATAGCATATAGCTCCCATAGGAACAATCAAAAAAATAAATTTTAAAAAATTATAACTTTTCTGTTTTAAAATTTTTTTTCAGAATTACGGTTTAAATTTCATCAAAATCGGACGACTATAACATAAAGCTCCCATAGGAACTATAAACATAATAAAAAAAAATTTTTTTAATTTATCTTTTTTATTTTGTAATTTTTTTAGACATTTTTTTTGTTTATTTAATTATTTGACAGTTCAGCATTATTTTTATTATTATTTTAGAGCTGTAAATCGTCATAGCTTCAATGCTTTTAAACATACACGCAAGTAAATCATAATTTTAATGTCTTCAAGAATATTTAATTTTTGCAATAGCTGCAAGGGTATATGAACTTCGACTTGCCGAAGTTTGCTTCCTTTCTTGTTTACCATTTTTTTAAATACCTATACCCTTGCTTTTATTTCCATTTTACTTACAAAAGCTCCAAAAGAGTTCTTCATAATCAAATTAGCTTGGGATAGATTTCTACTCATTCAAATAAGCATCAAAAGCTTATTATAAAGATTAGAAATAAGATTAATTTTTAAACGCCAATTTTAAGAGAAATGTGTTTTATGTTATAGCAAATGATGCGTGGGTGCTGCACGCTTTAAGTTTCTGGATGTGGCAATGCAGTTAGACACATGATTGTTCTGGATTGTTCTGGGGGAGGATTATTTAGTTGGTTAGTTGAGTAACGGGTATCTAAAAGTCGTTAAACTCGACTATAGGGTTTTTTCTTGTTATATATATTTTGGAGGTCAATCTTCTTTTATTGAAAAATGTGCATACACCACTGAAGAAATAACATTTGTGAAGAATTGGCTAAGAAACCAAAGTTTTGGCTCATGCAGTGGCCAGCTCAGAGCCCGGATCTTAATCTCATTGAAAATTTATAAAATTTCGGCTGGCAAAGTATGATAGTGCACCACAAGGATTTTGATGAACTTTGGGCCAGGATACAAGCGGAAAGGAAAAGTTTTCCAAAGGAAATGTTGCAGAACTTAGTCGAGAGTATGCACAAACGCATTAAATTGGTTATAAAAGCTAAAAGGACCAAATATTTAAATTTTAATGAAAAACATAAATTTTTAATGAAAAGCATAAAAATGCCAAGACGTGCAATAATGGATACATAAACATAAATAATAAAAAAATATAAGCAACATATAATTTAAGCAAAAGTTCTTTTTCTATATTGAAGATATTAATAAAGAATGTTGGAAAAAAAGAAATAAAGCGATTAATAAAATTTTACTATTTTTACAGCAGTTTGAAGTCAGAAGTGACAAACATGTATCCACATGTGCTCGCCACTGTATATATTATATATATATAATATATTATGTCAATTGACTGAAAACTATGGTGACCATTTGAAAAGAAGTATTTTATATGTTAGAAATTCATCATTAGGGTATGTTACATCACTAACCATACAAAAAAGTACTTTAGAAGTTTTTTTTGTAAAGGTAAATGGAACAAATATACAAATTCGCATTTTTGGTTTAAATAATATTTTA